TTCTCATCCTGGCTTTTCTTTTTTCTTATTTTTCTCTAGGTCTGGAGGCTGGCGGAGTGAAAAATCCTGCTGCAGCAAAGCGGAGTAGTGGATCTAACCCTCATGAGCAGGCACCAGGAAGCCAGTAGGTATTTGCGTGCGGCTTGTCACAGACCATGAAACCCACTATTATTCCTAAAAGAATAGCAAACCTGCTCTTTTCAGTACTTCAAAAAGAAAAGGAAAACAAATTTAAAAGCCTTTCTTAGTGTTGAAAAAAAACCCCGGCTTCTGAGATGGACGTGTGTATGATGCTTGCAGTCACCTGAGCAAGTAATTCCACTCCCCCCCTCCCCTTGAAAACACCTTTCCCTTGAGCATCTGTAAGTATTTTACAAATATTAGCGAATTTACAGTTTGTTTGTGGGAAGGAAAATTATTCCCATCCTTCCTTTCTAGATAAGGCAACCCAAGGCAGAAAGAAGTTTCGTATACAACCAGGCGAGGACTTCAGGAGCCCTCATTCCCTGCTCCCAGTCATAACCAAAGCTTAATTCCACAGCACTTGTAAAAGGCAGATTCGGAGCCGTGCAGCTATTTGAGATTTTATTCCACCACCCACAGGCCCTTTTGTAGCAATCTGCTCCCTGCTTGCTGGCACTGCTATTAATTATGGTCTGCCGTGCTGTCGTACCTGGGGCTGCAGTTGCATTTCCAGGGTGTAAACCCTTGTTTATTTGCATAATGGCTGAAGTACTTTCCCCCCCTATTCCTGGGATGCTGTTTAGTATGAAAACTCTTTGTTCTGGGGAGCTGACTTTCTTGTATATTTATATATTATAAATTATTTGCTTTTTGTGTGTGTGTGTATATACATAAAAATAGAGAGAATATATATATTCTAATTATATGTATGTTACATCTCTGCTCAGAAAAATAGAACAAGGCATTGGGAGAGTAGAATTCTTTTATCATGTTTAAATTAATTTACAGCTGCTTGTATTGTATTAGCACAGCTTCTCCCAACCTGGAAAAGACTCCTGGGAAAAGGGGGTGAACCAGGGTGTGAGGGGCTTGGGAAGGTGAAAGGGAGAATGAAAAGCAACTGATATATTACTTCTTTTTCCAATAATGCAATGTGGTCATAGCCATTGGAAGGAGGTACAGAAAGTGGTGACATTCTCTTCAGAAGGGCACAGGGTAATTAGAAGAAAATTATAGTCTTGATTCAAACCTCAATTACATCAGATTTTATCCTTGATATGTCCTGGGAACACCTCCTGATAATGATGTGTTATTACTAAGACAGAAAAGGATGTCTTTAAAAAAAAAAATCCTTGTATTCTTATAGTGTCAATTAAAAGACTACAAGATGAAAATAATTCCCATCCTGCTTCGAATTTCACATAAAATGACCAATAATCCTTTGCATGTTTTATTTTGAAAACAAAGCAGTCCAAAAGGAAGATTTTTTCTTTAATATTAAGACTGTATTCCATGCAGATAATCCATAGTAAATACATTGCATTAAAAGACAGTTAAAGTGCCTTTAGTCCCCCAAAATAGTCCAACTGTGCTGTAAATTCAAGTATGTGGAAAGTAGGCCTTTAGTTATAAAGAGAATATTTTTTTTAATGTGGGTCCTGCTCCCTTTGATGTTGAAAATGGGGGGAGGGGGAGGGTTAAGCCCCCAACTCCTGTGGGAGCAGAACCAACCTCGCGTTGGTCTCTGCTAAACCCTGTGCTGTGATTTCCCACCTGCAGGACACGGACTGATAGCCAAGGAGCAGGTTCCTGATGACATTTTCTACCTGATGACAGAGCCACACGTTCAGCAGTTGCCACCAATGGGGCTTGGAAAGACAAATGAGGAGCCAGAGCCACTGTTTGTATTTTGTATCCTCTTTTAACCAGCTGAGCCAGGGCCTGAGCACAGCCAAGAGCCCCAGCCCCTGTTATAGCTATAAAATATACAGGTTGATATACACAGACATTACACGGTCTGCTTTGAAGTGAGCCCCAACACTGGGTTTGTCAGAATCTAGAGGAAAAACCTCGGGATGTGGCTCGAGAAGCCACAGAATGAAAGCAAAATTAAACTCTTTTTATGTCAGTCATCATCGTCACGGTCTTGCTCCGGCACTCGAGACTCGCAAGATTAACCGGCATCTTGCAGTCAAGAGTCACCCAAGAACAGAGGATTGATCCCGGTGCTTTCAACTCCATGCAGCCAACATTATACCTCAGCCCAGACTCTCCTGTTCTCTTCATCTGAGTGGTACTTGTTGATGGTAAAGACATTTTTCTCTTTTTTCTAGGCATCGGCAACATCACCGTTGGGCTTTCTGGAATTTAATAGACAACCTCTTCTCTACCACTACAAAAGATTGCTCCCTGCTGACTCACGAGCTTCCCAGGAGTGAACTTCAAGGGTCCAGAGCTAGACCTCATAGCTAAAGGTAGGACTGAATACTTATTTTTATTCTCCTCCTTGAGACACAGCATCTAAGCACATTGGTTCTCCAGTGGGAGCTGCTGGTTGAATCCAGACCTTCAGCTCAGAGCACAGACGTGACTATGGGCAGTGACTTCTCCATCTCCTCTACCACAAGGTCTTGGAGGTGATGGATTGGAGCTGTTAACCTGACAAACCCAAACCCTATTCCTCGGTAGAAGACAGACCAAACATCTGTTACACAGCTACAGAAAAGCCCGGTTTGATTTGTTTCTTTCCTTAAAGGAAAAATAGAAAAAAGAAAAGAAAAAAAAAAGCCTTTTTTTTACTCCAGGCACTCAGAACTTGGCATCTCCCCTGAAGTGCAGGTATTTTATGCATCTCAGCTGTTTCTGTGCTACAGCACGTGGGTGGTGTTATTCTCCACCTGAGGAGCTGATCCTCTTCTGAATCCTCCCAAGATCCTGGCTGCAGTAACGCCGCAGTGATTTATACAGCTCAATCACACTCTATTGAAAGTCTGTTTTCTTTTAAATCCGCAGCATTTCATTTAAATCCTGGCTGCTGGATGTTACCTAAGCAGGTCTAGGGGCTCTAGGGGAGAGGAGTACCCAAATCTGGCTGTTATTGGGTATGCACGTTCAGAAAACCGGTAAAAACAAGGCCGTTATTTGAAAAGACTTAAATCAAGATAAAATTCCTTCCCAGCTCATAACCATTTCAGCAGGGATCAGGTCCTGGGCAAAAACTAGACAACAGCATCCCTTTGGATTCTTTCTTACTTCAAGGAAATGGGGGTGAAAAAAACCAACCTTCCAGCTGAAAGCTTTATTTGGGAATAAAGTTTATCTTCAACATATGTCTAAAGAGAGACTGTGTGGGCCATAAGGACTTGGCACGACTCAGTCTGACTTACCCTGTTTGAGCATTTTGGTGCTTTTATGCCATAATAAGATGCAGCAAAAGTCTCCCTAGTGGCTATGTGTGAGAAAGTATAATCTGGGGTCTAAATGCCACAAAGCATCCATATTTATCTTTAATGGCTATATAAATTCAGCAGATGAGAAGGAAAACATTAATTAGACAGACCCTGCCTTTGGCAGTAATCACCACCAGTGACAGCTGAACCAGCCAGTGGATAAAATATGCACGAAACATGATTATCAGAATAAATAACTGAGGATCAAGAGAAAATTAAAGGAAAAAAAAAAAGGGGGGGGAAAAAAAGCCACACAGAACCAACACCATTTTTGGTGGGGGAAATAAAACTTTACCTTTTACTAGACTTTGGACACTCTCTCTTTTGGTTTTTTATATACAATCTTTCCCCAGTTTAGGGCCTGATCCTGTGGCTGGTGTCTGTGGCAGTGGGGTAGAGTGTTTCTGCAGGTCAGTGGTGAATTCTGATTGCACAGAAGGAGTAGAAAACCCTGAGAAGGTTGAGTGTCGAAGCCCTTAGGGTCAGAGTCTGGAGTCACAATACACCTACAAATCCAGACCAGGGGCCTATCACAGACATCATACAATTTAAAAAAATAGAAAAAAATGCCACTGACTTGAGTGGGCTTTAAAAACCATGATGTTAACAAGGTGATTTTTAGATTTTCTTTTCATGGTATCAAGGCATGTATGCCTTCACTCCTTATTTATGTGAAATGCCCATGAATAAGCTCGGATTTACTTCAGGATTTAGCCCGTGGGAGGCCACGTTAGTGCTCTGTCCCCATCCTCATCCATCAAAACCTCCTCTGTTCCTGCTGGAGTAGTGGCCATGCCACAAGGACGTATTTTGAAGGAATCTAAGATTTAATTTTTTTCCACACTCTGTCTCTGTCTTTGGGGTTGTAGTTTGTAATTTAGCAAAGTAATTAGATGCCATAAAGTGCATCAGAGCCGTTGGCTCACAAACATCCTGAAGGTGAATCCTCCATGGCGTTTTGCCCTTAAAATAAATGAAATTTCCCTTTCTCTTGGAGCAGGGGGTGGAAGCTTCTGCTTTGCAGGGAGGGGAGGGCAGGGAGTTGAAGCCATGGGTGGTGGAAGACCAATGGCAGGATGAAAAGACAAGGGCACGAGGCTTCTCGGCCACGAAGACAAAATTAAAAGAAGGCGAAGGGGGGAGCGGAGAAAGGGACAGAGCTGGGGGAGAGGGGGAACAGGAGAGGGGATGGGAGTCCTGGAAAGCCAACCCCACCTCTCCTGGGCCACCACCAGCACCTACCACCAGCCTGTCCCTGCAGAGGGGAGGAGAGAACCAGCCCAACTCTCCTGAGTGCAGGCAGAGCCAGCGTCCCGCAAAAATCTACCGTCCTGCTGTCCCCAAGAGCCTGCTGCTTGAGGAAACCGTGTATTTTGCCCATCCCCAGATTTGCCCCTGCTTTGTTGCCCCTGTTGACTCCCAGTGGAGGAGGGAAGAGGTCAGCCCCACACAGGGAGAGGGGAAAACCCAACCACAACACAAAAAAGCCAGGCCAAACCAAAACTTTGACTGTGCTCCTTTCTCCAGGGCTTCGGTGCTGGGCTGCCAGGAGAGACCCATGTCACCCCTGACCATCACCAAGCTTCTGCTTTGCAGGGAGGGGAGGGCAGGGAGTTGAAGCCATGGGTGGTGGAAGACCAATGGCAGGATGAAAAGACAAGGGCACGAGGCTTCTCGGCCACGAAGACAAAATTAAAAGAAGGCGAAGGGGGGAGCGGAGAAAGGGACAGAGCTGGGGGAGAGGGGGAACAGGAGAGGGGATGGGAGTCCTGGAAAGCCAACCCCACCTCTCCTGGGCCACCACCAGCACCTGCCACCAGCCTGTCCCTGCAGAGGGGAGGAGAGAACCAGCCCGACTCTCCTGAGTGCAGGCAGAGCCAGCGTCCCGCAAAAATCTACCGTTCTGCTGTCCCCAAGAGCCTGCTGCTTGAGGAAACCGTGTATTTTGCCCATCCCCAGATTTGCCCCTGCTTTGTTGCCCCTGTTGACTCCCAGTGGAGGAGGGAAGAGGTCAGCCCCACACAGGGAGAGGGGAAAACCCAACCACAACACAAAAAAGCCAGGCCAAACCAAAACTTTGACTGTGCTCCTTTCTCCAGGGCTTCGGTGCCGGGCTGCCAGGAGCGTCCCATGTCACCCCTGACCGTCACCGCTGCAGGCTCTGCTGTCCCCTGTGGAATCCAGGTGAGTCCCAGCCTCCCGTCACCCCGACTCCTTCTTTGTAATTGCTCCATTGGGTCTTTTTTTCCTCTACTTGCTCTTTCTTTTCCAAGAGGGGAAAGACTTTGCAATAGAATAAGAGAAGACTCCAACAGTTGAGAGGCGGGAGGTTCGAGACGCGGGGGGAGAAGCGCTCAGCACTGTTCTGCTTCCACGAAGCCCTCCTTCTCCTGGCTGCTTGGCTCCACCTCCGAGTACGTGGCGTGGTTGGTGTGATTTCGGAATTTCATGGCAGGCCAGCGATGGGGCCGTCGCTGTGGACAGAGACAAAGACCCATCAGAAGGTGTGACAGAGCCCCAGAGTCTGCGGGGAAAAGGGAAACTCGGTCCTGAAACCTACACAAGGCTGTCTTTGTGAAGGTTTGACTTCTTATTAATAAAAATAATTTTTTAAAAATAACTTCCTGCTTAAAAGAATTCATTACGAGGCATCGATCTCACTGAGCTGACCCGCTTTTAAGTGAAATCTCACGTCAGCCTCAGAACAAGGGTGGCCTCTGCAGCCGTGGATCATAGAATCATAGAATCATTGAGGTTGGAAGAGACCCTTGGGATCATCGAGTCCAACCATCTCCCCTACTCTACAAAGTCCTCCCCTACACCATGTCCCTCAGCACTGCATCTAAACGGCCCTTCAACACAGCCAGGGGTGGGGACTCCACCCCCTCCCTGGGCAGCCTGTTCCAATGCCCCACCACTCTTTGGGTGAAAAATTCCTTCCTAATGTTCAGTCTAAACCTCCCCTGTTGGAGCTTGAAGCCGTTCCCTCTCGTTCTGTCACTAATTACCTGGGAGAAGAGCCCAGCACCAACCTCTCTACAGTGTCCTTTCAAGTAGTTGTAGAGAGTGATGAGGTCTCCCCTCAGCCTCCTCTTCCTCACACTAAACAGCCCCAACTCCCTCAGCCGCTCCTCATACGATTTGTTTTCCAGCCCCCTCACCAGCTCCGTTGCCCTCCTCTGCACTCGCTCCAGCACCTCCAGATCTCTCTTGGATTGAGGTGCCCAAAACTGGACACAACACTCGAGGTGTGGCCTCCCCAGTGCTGAGTCCAGGGGCACAATCACCTCCCTGATGGACATGGCCTTCCCCTGTGACCACCTGCACCTCAGCTCCCTGTCTGCTCTCTCGCTGCAAAACAGGGACACATTGTCCCTTCTCGGCCAGGTGCAGATAAATGCATCAAACATCAAGTGCTCAGAGGTGGAGGCCGTGAAGATCAGTTCTCTGGAGCCTGTCTCTGCGAACGGGACAGACGGAGGACGGCCACGCACTCAAGGAAAAAGCCAGCGAGTAGAAAGGAGGAGGGAGCCAGACTCTTTTCAGTGGTTCCCAGTGAGAGGACGAGGGGCAACGGGCACAAGTTGGAACAGAAGAGGTTCCACTCAAATATGAGGAGAAACTTCTTCACGGTGAGGGTGGCAGAGCCCTGGAACAGGCTGCCCAGGGAGGGTGTGGAGTCCCCTTCCTTGGAGATTTTCAAACCCCACCTGGATGCTCCTGAGTAACATGCTCTGACAAGCTCTGGGCAATCCTGCTTCAGCAGGGGAGTTGGACTAAATGATCTCTATGGTCCCTTCCAACTTTAAAAATTCAGTGAAATTCAGTGAAAAGGAGAGAGGCTGAGGGCAAAGTGTTGCTCATTCCCTCTGTGGGGGCTCCTGTGCCAGGATTCATCCCACTTGTACCCTCCTCGGGATCCTACACCACGCCGGCTTCTGGCTTCGAGCAGCAGATGGAGATTGTTGGACCCCCCACCTTTCCGAGAATTAAAATCTTCCGTTTCGAGCGTTCTCCCCACCCCTCACGCAGCAGCTGATGGCCCTGCATCCAGCAGTAAAGGCTGATAATTTTAGTCAACGAAACCCAGCTGGGGGGGTTGGGAAGGCAGGGAGATCAATTATCCCCCCGCTCCAGCCCAGCCCTCCGACCGGGCGGCGTGTGTCACCTGCTCCTGCGAGGAGGTGGAGGAGTCTAACGTTGCATGGGGGGAGGGAAAAATAAAAAAAAAAAAGGCAAAAACATGTGAAAGGGAGCAAAATAAACCAGTGTGGGAGGGAGAGAGCCTAAGTTTAAAACACCATCAGCTGATGGTTGGGAGATGAGCTGTGACCATGAAGAAAAACTCAGGTGCAAACTCTGCCAAAGTGCCACTCTCCTCTTCTCTTTGCTCTTCTTTTTAGGGGCCTAGAAAATCTCTCTTATGAGGAAGGGCTGAGGGACTTGGGGCTTTTTAGTCTGGAGAAGAGAAGGCTGAGGGGGGATCTGATCAACACCTATAAATACTCAAAGGGTGGGTGTCAGGAGGGAGGGGCCAGGCTTTTTTCAGTGGTGCCCAGGGACAGGACAAGAGGGAACGGGCACAAACTTGAATATAAGAAGGTCCATCTAAATTTGAGGAGGAACTTCTTTGTTGTGAGGGTGGCAGAGCCCTGGCAGAGGCTGCCCAGGGAGGTGGCGGAGTCTCCTTCTCTGGAGACATTCAAACTCCCCCTGGACACGTTCCTGTGGGACCTGCTCTGGGTGGCCCTGCTCTGGCAGGGGGTTGGATGGGATGATCTCCAGAGGTCCCTTCCAACCCCACATCATTCTGTGATTCTCTAGGTTTGTGTTGGGAGCTGAGGAAGAGAAAACTGGGGAGGGTGAAGGTTCTCCACTCACCTCAATGAAGAAGAGGGCAGCGTTGGAGGTGGGATGGCTGTTGATGTAAATCCCAGCCAGGATAATCGCGGCCACCAGCAGCACGGCCAGGACGATGCCCACGATGGTCCCCGTGTGAATTGGGGCACCTCCTTTCTTGGCAGGAAGGCTGCTGCCCAGACCTGCAAATAAAAGGCTGCAGTTGAGTCTCAAACTGTGCCGAGACCTCGGCAGAAGAAAGGACAGCCAAGAAAATAAAAGGCGAGACCTTTGAGGGCTCTGCACGTACGAGTGAGGAACTTCAACTGCTGCTGTGGGGAAGATGCACCAGAGAGATGTCTGAGCTCTGGCATCCCTTTCAGATGCTGGCAGGAGCTGGTTTGAGAGGGGACTAAGCCACCACCACACCGTAACCCCCCCTCCAAGCCATATTCTTTATACATTGGCTGCTCGCTCTGGTAGAAAGCCATTAGCCAGATGCTGGGGGGGGGTCCTCAGTGTGTCCCACCCCCAGCTCACCCTCATCCTCAGCTGTGAATACCCCATTGCTCAGAGCTACAATGGGAGGATGGGGCATCTATCAACAGTGACATTACCAGCCAGTTGGGGAGCAATTTGGCTGAAACTGGGAAGATCATACATTTCAAAGGCCCCACGGCTGCGAAGGAACTCATTCTGCCCCCAGTTTAACCAGTTTAACCTCCCCGAGCTGCTTTCGGGTCAGAGGGATGGGCTGGTGGTTTGTCCACGGCCGCAGTCCTTGCAAACAGGGCTCGGATCCTTCCCAGACTCTGGAATTAGCAAGAGAATGACAGCAACAATCTGGTTCCCTGCCCTTGGAGCTGCTGGATGGGCCTGGACTGAGGATTTGCAGGAACAGGGATGAAAAAGGCAGAGCTGGGCTAAGGCCACATTTTAAATGAGGATTTTACGCCGCTCTTTGGCACTGCTGGGGAAGTTCAAAAGAAAAAAAAGGACTTTGCGTCTAGGCAAAAACTGCAAAGAAAGGGAATTGCGTGGAAAAAGAAAACTCATCATCTCAGTTTGCAGAGCGGGACGAAGCGACTCTCACTTTTCACTACATTCACTACTACATTTCACTACCTTCAGTGGGTGCAGAGGAGGCAAAAGAAAACTCATCATCTCAGTTTGCAGAGTGGGACGAAGCGACTCTCACTTTTCACTACCTTCACTACTACATTTCACTACTTTCAGCGCCTGCAGAGGAGGGCAACGAAGCTGCTGAAGGGCCTGGAGAATAAATCTTATGAAGAGCGATTGAAGGAGCTGGGACTGTTCAGTTTGAGGAAGAGGAGGCTGAGGGGAGACCTCATCACTCTCTACAGCTACTTGAAAGGACACTGTAGAGAGGTTGGTGCTGGTCTCTTCTCACAGGTCATTAGCGATAGAACAAGAGGGAATGGCTTCAAGCTCCAACAGGGGAGGTTTAGACTGGACATTAGGAAACAATTCTTCACAGAAAGAGTGGTCAGAGACTGGAAGAGGCTGCCCAGGAAGGGGGTTGAGTCACGTCTTTGGATTAGTTTAAGAGTCCTTTAGATGTGGTGTTGGGGGATATGGTGTAGGGGAGAACTTTGTAGAGTAGGGTTGATGGTTGGACTCGATGATCCCAAGGGTCTTTTCCAACCTGAATGATTCTATGATTCTACATGAAATGGCCTTAACGAGGGTAAGGACAAGAGGAACCTTCTCCTGGTGGTGTCCCTCTGGCCCCAGTTCCACGGGCCCACCCCACTGACCGAGCACAACTCCCCAGTGCCTTTTATTCCAACATAACACGTTTCCACCAGGAACGAATGTGAGAGAGGATGAAGGGCTTACCTTCACTTCCTGCATACTGATTGAGCTTCGTGTCATCTAAGAGAAGAAAACAAGGCAAGAAAAATAATGTTAGGAGCCTTTTGTGATATTCTGGGTGCTTCCCACCTGCTTCCATCCCTCTCTAGTGGGGCCACTGACAGAACATGCCTCTTGCACAGCATTTACGTGGTCAGGGAGAGTCTTAGACCCCTGAGTTTGGTGGCAGCGTGTGGCGTGGGGGTTATTGTGGTTCTTCACAAAGGTGGCACCTGGAGCACAAACCTCTGAGGAAACCAGTCTTTAAATCAGTGTGTGATGGGGAATAAATGAACGCTGGATGGACCCAGCATTGGGTGCCTGTGCTCAGACCGTGGTGTTTGCAGCAATTCGTACACCACCACCAAATCACGGGGGTGTCACGCCAGAAATGTCTCACGTGGGGAGGGCCAAAATCCAAATTTCATTCCTTGTCTCACTCTGGAGGCACCAGGATGCGTCGTACGAGGCTTCACGCCTCAACCCTCCCCACCCTCACAATTCCAGCTCAAATCCCAGCCCAGGATTATTCCTGCTGGGCTTCCAGGTTTGCCCAGAGGTGACCGGTGGGTCAGCCACGTTCCCGGAGCTGTGGGTGAGCGGGGCCAGGAGCTGGGCTGGCTGGGGAGGACGCCGAGGGCTGGGTCCCCTTCCTTGGCTTCTCTCCCTCCTTTGCTCCGCTTCTCCAGATAAAGTTCGCTGCCTGATGCAGCTGGTGGTTTGTTTCCTTCCAAGATTACAAATTAACTTCATGCTCGGCTACGTCACAGAAAAGCCTCTTGTGCTTTTTCCAAGAACTGGCGATGAGTTGGAAAATAATCTCAGTGGTGATGTTACCCCCCCCCCCCCTCCTTTTAATTGCTCCTTTCAAAGTCAACTCTGCCAACCAGGCGCTCCCTTCCTCCCCCCCCCCTCAACTCCTTCCCATTGCTGAAGGACAATTACTAATGTTCCTTTCTATTTATTCTAATTAGCAGTTTGCGTTAGGGACTATTAAGCAGGGAAATTGAAGTGATACCTGCCGCTAGGATCCGAGGAGCCAGCCCTGTGTTAATGGGATTATCAAGCTTTAGAACAAGGGTGTCTCCAGGGGAAACCAGGGTCCTCATGTGGAGCTTTCCTCCAGCTTTCCTCCGCTGGAACGAGCTCCGTTGCCGAGCAGAGGGCAATCACAAGCCCGTGCTGGCAACCTGGGGCCACCAGACAGGACCAGGCACATCAAAGCATGAGCCCCTGTAGACAGCATTAACCTCTTACGCTGCTGGAGGGGTCTGTCCACCAGGGACTCGTCGCTCGTTGACCTTCACAAATGTGTAAAAAGGCTGTAAAACTCTTCCTACTGGAGGGTTTCATCTCTCGCTCCGAGTCTCACCTCTTGGGCTCCCCTTCCTTCTCCTTCCCACTGCTCCCACCCCTGCCCTGTCCTTCAAAGCCGGGGTTTTATTGTATTTATGTGGATATGAGGCTTTATGAGGCCTTGGAGTGACAGAGCTCTCCAGGGGTAGGCATCCCTGAGGATGGGGTGTCCCTGCAGCAGCCGCTCCCCCCACCAGGCCCTACCTTCTGTAGTGAGGCTGTCGATGAAGAGCGAGGACGTGGCAGTGGTGACATCCTCATCCAGCGGTGAGAAAGAGCTGTCAGGAGGTGCTGAATAGTGGTCACCTTCTGCTAAATCCTCGCAGGTCTTCTGGGCTGACTGGAAAGACAATGGAGAACAGCTACGTTTCCCAGCTCTCCTCCAGCAAGAGTGCCAGGGAGCCACTGGTGAGGACTGGGCTTCCCCGAGCTCTTGGGGTTCAAACCCTGGAGTGCAGGCAGGAGACCTGGGCCAGAAGTGCCAGGGAAACTCTCGCTCCGAGTCTCACCTCTTGGGCTCCCCTTCCTTCTCCTTCCCACTGCTCCCACCCCTGCCCTGTCCTTCAAAGCCGGGGTTTTATTGTATTTATGTGGATATGAGGCTTTATGAGGCCTTGGAGTGACAGAGCTCTCCAGGGGTAGGCATCCCTGAGGATGGGGTGTCCCTGCAGCAGCCCCCCACCAGGCCCTACCTTCTGTAGTGAGGCTGTCGATGAAGAGCGAGGACGTGGCAGTGGTGACATCCTCATCCAGCGGTGAGAAAGAGCTGTCAGGAGGTGCTGAATAGTGGTCACCTTCTGCTAAATCCTCGCAGGTCTTCTGGGCTGACTGGAAAGACAATGGAGAACAGCTACGTTTCCCAGCTCTCCTCCAGCAAGAGTACCAGGGAGCCACTGGTGAGGACTGGGCTTCCCCGAGCTCTTGGGGTTCAAACCCTGGAGTGGAGGCAGGGGACCTGGGCCAGAAATGCCAGAAGTATGTGGAGGGGGTGACCTGGAGAAGAGAAGGAAGGTTTGGGACCCACTTAAGTAGGACCTGGCGAGGTCCTACAGCCTGAGCTTCTTGCATCGCTGGATGGCCTTACACAGGTCCTGTGACCTCCTCTTCCCTCACTTGGTTAACAGGAAGCAAAGCTGAGTTGTTGGTGGAAGGGAAAAAAAAAGAAAACCCAAACAAAAACAAACCAAAACCCAAAAAACTCCAATCAGAAACAGATGTTTTGTTAAAACCGATCGTTCTGAGAAAAAGGAACTAGCTCGTCCAATGTGGAGATAATTGTGCTAACAAGGACCAAAAAACAAAAGTATCACAAGGGCTAATTTCTTCATGCTTGGGACGAGCATGAGTAAGAGTCATGCTCCAGAAGGTGAAGAAAAACATATCCCAGTGTTCTCAAATTGCACCATTTGGCAACTTGTGGAGGTCTCTGCATCCTTTACTAACCATCTGGCACTGACCAGCACAGAAACCAGACCCCAGCAAGGCAAAGACTGGTAATTCTGGATGAGATGGACCAACTCTGGATGAGATGGACCACCTTTGAACTATCCCAATACACACATCCTCTGTGAAGAGACCCTCCTGTAATGGGAAGGGACATCCAAAGGGATACTCAGCCGTGGAACAGCACGGACAAAGCGGAGCTGAGTGTGAATTTTCAGAGCTGGGACATAGCCATTATTTGTGGGTTTTTTTTTTACAGTTGAGCATCTTTCCTGGCAGAGGAACTGAGAGAAGAAGGTCTCACCTCCTGGGCACAGCCGTAGGACAGCCACTCCTCCCGGTACCGGTCAAAGCCACTGGAACATCTGTGGAGAAAAGCAGCATCAACTGAGGCAGGTGAATTCCTGAGGCACAGCAACAGTAACGCTCCTTTGCCCACTCTGGGTGGGCACTGCTAATGATTTCTGAGCTGCCCGAGAGGCCCAAATGCCACCCCGATGGGCACTGGGACGCTTGGAGAAGCATATATCTGAGGACTGGAAAGATTATATGCAAATTGGTCTCCGAAGACATGGGGTTTCCAGTACAGCTGTGCTGGAAGGACCCAAATGTTCCTCTCCACGGAGGAAGAAAAGGGTCAGCCCCGCTTCTCCAAGGGAAACGGAGAAGCAGAGAAATAGGAAAAATATATAGACTGAGTCTGAATTTCCATTCCCTGGACTCCGTGCCAGGGTGAGGCCACGATCTCCACGAGAGTCGTGGGTTGGTTTTTTTCCAGCAACATCTGCACAGGAAAAACACATTAAAGAAATTATAAACTGCACGAGGAAAACACCAGCTAGAGAAACCTCTGCAGAAAGAGAGGGAGTGAAACAGCTCTCTGACCTTTGGGAAGCCTCTGGAGATCCCAAAATATGAATCAGGGGTTCAGCTCACAAAAGCACTAATTTACCCAACTACCAACCAGTAGAAGAGGAGAAGCCACAAAGAACTTGAGGTCCTGCTGAGCCACTGAGATCTTTGCTTGAAGCACAGTTCCTGTAACCATTCAGGGCTGGGCAAAAGCAAAAATACAAACTCCCCTCTCCAGAGGAGAGGACTTGGGTGAAATCATGGAGAACTGGACTCAGGATGTAAGTTCAGACCCTGGAAGCCACACAACCAACTGCCTTGGGAAAGATCATGTTGGCTTTGCAAAACCAAGATGGAAAGCCAACCAGAGAGCGGTGGGCTTGCTCTGGCTTGTGGTTTCCATCACACTTGTTGCTTATATTGTCCATTGGTAACTTGAACACCTCAGGACCATGCTGCTGACACGCAGTCACGGCTGTAGGAAGTACAGATTTTTAGCCAACACATCAAGAAGTCACCGTACCATAAAGTGAGAAAAGCAAACATCAGCCACAGCGACTCGGTTTTTGGAAGATTGGGTTTGCAAACACCGGGAATTTGGAGGAAGCAGAATGATGAAGTTCTTGAACCCCAGGGTTTCAGCCCAAACATGACTAAGCCCCCTGCCTTCCGAGTTTGGGTTTGCTCCAAAAGCAAACTGAAAGCGCTGAAGAATGATGTTCCCCCTGGCTCGGGTTGAATCCCAGCCCACCAAGAGGCACCGAATCAACACTGATTTATAGGGTCACTCCTGATGTCTCAGGATCTTTCCCCGTCCCAGCTGAAACTGCTGCATGTAAGGAAAGGGTGGAATGGAATGAGCCAACCCCATCCTGGGCTGCATCCCCAGCCCCGTGGCCACCAGGGCAAGGGGGGGATTCTGCCCCTCTGCTCCGCTCTGGGGAGACCCCCACCCAGTGCTGCCTCCAACTCTGGGGCCACCAACAGCAGAAGGACATGGAGCTGTTGGATGGGGCCAGAGGAGGCCCCAGAGATGCTGGGAGGGCTGGAGCCCCTCTGCTGGGAGGGGGGGCTGAGAGAGTTGGGGGGTTCAGCCTGGAGAAGAGAAGGCTCCAGGGAGACCTTAGAGCCCCTTCCAGTCCCTCAAGGGGCTCCAGGAGAGATGGGGAGGGACTCTGGATCAGGGAGGGGAGCCCTAGGAGGAGGGGGAAGGGTTTGACACCGAAAGAGGGGAGATGGAGATGAGATTTAGGAAGAAACTTTGCCCTCTGAGGGTGGTGAGAGCCTGGCCCAGGTTGCCCAGAGAGGCTGGGAGATGCTCCATCCCTAGAAACATCCCAGCTTAAGATGGACAGGACTCTGAGCAACCCGGTCTGGCTGGAGACGTCCCTGCTCATGGCAGGGGGTTGGACCAGACGGGCTTTAAAGGTCCCTTCCCACCCAAACAAGTCCTGAGCGTGCAGACAGGAGGAAGGAGCCCAGCGAGCGATGCCGGGGTGAGCTCTCGCAGGAGGCAGCTGGGGAAGGGGCAGCCCTGGAGCTTTCCTGGGACCACGGGGCATCTCCCAAACACGGCCGTCCCCGCGCCGCTGCCAGGATCTGTGTTATTGGGTCCTCTCCCCTGCCACCAGCTCTAAATAAATATTTCAGCAAAAACCTCATTAAACTCTCTCATGCTCCGTATGGCGCCGAGGAGCTGAAGGAGAGCAGGGAGCAGGATTGCTGCACGTCTGGGACCACAGTGGGGGCCAGCCCTGGCCTCCCAAATCCTCCATTTACCCCCCAAAAAGCAGCAAGTGCCCCCCACCCTTGCTGTCTCTCGTCCCCAACAAGGAGGGCATGTCCCTGTGATGAGCATCCCTGGCTCTCACCGACCTGCCACCCTTCAGACTCCAGCGCGTCCCAGCCTCCCTGCCCTGCACATCTCCTCTGTCTGAAATCACAGCCCAAGCCAGGACAAGTTTCAGCCCCCCATCCCATCTAAATTAATTAAAAAATGTGAGTTTTGCTTCTGGTCTCAACTTGTTCCAGCTGCTGCATCGGAACATCCAAGAACCCCAGCCTCGGGAAATGTCTCCTTTCAATGGCTTGTAATGGGAGATGGGATCACGCTTCACCTCGGCTTGGGGAGCAGCCCCCTCGCCAAAGCACAGAGCAACAAAGAGAAACCCAACAAGAAAAAAGGAAAATGATACTAAAAAAAAAGCAGCAGCACCCATACAGGCATCAGACCTGGAGTGGGACTTGCTCTCCCAACTCCAAAAATGTTATGAGAGAAGAAAAGGGAAGGAAACCCATCCCAGCTACCTCTGCAGGACGTGGCACCAGCTGCAGTTGAAGGTCAGCTCCGAGGCCACACACATTTCACAGCTCTGGTGCTGGAGACAAGCTGTAAAGAGAGAGGAGAGAGGTACTTGTGACACACCAGCATCTGCACGGGGACACGGGAGCGTGGGCTGGTGGCACGGGCAGAACCAGAGCGTGAAGAGATGAGTCTCTACCCCAACCTCCCTCTGCTGTGGACCTGCTGGAGAGGACTCCCAGTCCACCTGTAAATGTCCTCCCACTCTGCTTAGCTGGGAATTAAAACACATCTGAGCCTTTATACCATTTCTTAGTGCCCTGAGGGGGCTTCTCAGAAGGAAGGAAGCAACACCAACAGTTTAACCCTCTGTTGCTATGTCCATACTAAGTAGATCTGCAGAACATCTCCAGATCAGAAGGAAGGAAGCAACACCAACAGTTTAACCCTCCGTTGCTACGTCCATACTAAGTAGATCTGCAAGAACATCTCCACACTGGAGAGGACTAGCTGCTTGTAGAGCACCATCATGTGCTTGTCGTCCTGTCTAGAAAAGGTGGCCGAGAGGGCAAAAAAAAAAAAAAAAAGCCAAGGAAACCAGCAGTTTTAGCAAACCCCTCGGGAGCTCCCACCAGCCCACGGTGACAGAGCTGGGATCTGATCTGGGAATGGGAAACACCAACACCAGAGGTTCCCATCCTGTGTGACAGCACAGAACCCCACCAGGCAGCAGCATCCCCATCCCACCTGGACCTGGCACCCCTCTGCATCCCCCCCTACACTCCCCATCGCTTCTCCAGCCACAGGATCCCCGTCCTGCCCCCCACACCGGGGCAAACTCACCCCCCCAGCCCTGTGTTGCCTCATTTTCTGGTGTCCCCCAGCCCTGATCTCCTCCACCTTCCCATCCCGAGCTTCTCCCGAGCTCCCCGCCACGTGGAGGCAGCGAGGACCTCTGGAGAAGAGGCAGGGGCTAACCCAGTTCATCCACTTCTGACCTGAATAAGGCTAAAAATTAAACCCCCAGAAGAAAACGTGGAGTCTAGTTCTGTGGCTCCTCTGGAGATACTGCTCTCAGCTCCCCTGGCTGCTGGGGAAAAGCGAAATAGCAAGTCTTAAGGAGGAAAAAAAAAAAAAAAAAGAATTATTGCAGAATGCTTATTTATGATCTGCTTTGCAGTCACCCTGCCTGCTGTTAAAATTGTCATAAAATACCCTGGGGGAGACCATTTAAATGCATAACCTTGGGATCTTCGTGACAGATTTACTCTCCGCTCCGTATTTACGGACTGCACGACGGGCTCTGCGCATGTGTCCTTGGATCCCGACACTAAAAATGTATCCCTTTAACAGGATCCTTAAGGAATTTCATCAGAGTGTGGAGGCGGAGAAAATGTCTTGCCGACAGACCTGAAGTGAACCGGCGTCCAGCGAAAACTCGCTGCAGCTCAGGGAGCAAAAGAGAAGGGAGTTTCAGGAGATGGAGAGGTGGGAAATAAGGAACCAAAGTGGTGGAGAGAGAGGGGATCAAGAAGAGGGAAGGTGGAATTGCCTGCAGGTCCCTCCTTTGGCAGCTCTTCCCTTTCCTGCATCCCAGGCTCCTGCCTTGGTGATGGAGCAGCCAGACTGGCACGTTTTTGGGGTTTGCTGGTGGCCAGGGTTGACTCTGAGCTGATAAATCATCAGTACGTATGAGACATTTGGTGACAGCCACACAGACCTTCTCCCAAAGTCAGAAGGTCTAGGGAGACCCCCACCTCAGTGCTGCCTCCAGCTCTGGGGCCACCAGCATCAGAAGGACATGGAGCTGTTGGATGGGGCCAGAGGAGGCCATGGAGATGCTGGGAGGGCTGGAGCCCCTCTGCTGAGAAGGCGCCGGGGAGACCTTAGAGCCCCTTCCAGTCCCTCAAGGGGCTCCAGGAGAGATGGGGAGGGACTCTGGATGAGGGAGGGGAGCCCCAGGAGGAGGGGGAAGGGTTTGACACCGAAAGGGGGGAGATTGAGATGAGATTTAGGAAGAACTTGTTTGGTGGGAGGGTGGTGAGAGCCTGGCCCAGGTTGCCCAGAGAAGCTGTGGCTGCCCCATCCCTGGAGGGGTTCAAGGCCAAGGTTGGAGGGGGCTTGGAGCAACCTGGTGTGGGGGGAGGTGTCCCTGCCCAGGGCAGAGGGTGGCACTGGATGGTCTGTAAAGTCCCTTCAACCCAAACCATTCTGTGATTCTATGACTGGGGGTCCCTGGAGTGGGGGCAAGCTTCTCCCTGGCCATAGCCCACCCTCTCTTCATGGCTCTGGTGTGCAGGAGGAACCCAGCCGCAGCCACACACCCTTCCAGCACCCACCAAACCCGCCCTGGCTTCCCTCATTGGCTGTAAATAGGAGGCTTTTGGAGCTCTGGGGTGAAACTGCAGGAGGGAAACCCACGTTGGGGCACCACACCAGCCCGTCTGACTTACTGGGCAGCGGGGTGAACTCCACGGCTGACATGTTGGTGATCTTGCTGGTGTCCAGCTCCACGCGATGATACTCATAGATGGTCCGACGGCGGGACTCTGAAACACGGAGCCTTGGCTTTAGACCGACCAGAAGCCCACCCTGAGAAGGGGTTTCATCCCCAGCTTGTGGGGCTGCTGCTGCCCCCCAACCAGTTTCACCCCCAGCTTGTGGGGCTGCTGCTGCCCCCGCAATTGAAAGGCAAAGGTGGCCCCAGGTCTTGGGGTGGGAGAGGACAGGAGGTGCCGGGAAGGAGGAGGGGTGTGAGGGCACATCTCCTCTTCCCTCTTTTGCCAGGAGGAGCTCGGAGCTCCCTGTCCCCCTCTCCCCGCACCGGAGACTCCCGGGATGGCCGTGGTCCAGCCCTGCATCGCTCTAAACAAACACGGAGCTGCACAACACATTGCTGGTCGGTGACTCACGGGGCTGAGAGCCTCCCCCGTGCTCAGCGCTCGCCCAGAGCTCCCCACCACTCTCCCCAGCCCCCCCAGAGCCTCCTCCTTCCCTCCATCCCTCACGCCTTGCCCCCTCTTCCTTCTCTTTCCCCTTCATCCCGGGGGGGTTTATCCTGAATTCAGGCTTCTCCCGGATTTTCTCCCAGCATCTGCCACTAATTCACGTGGTGACACCAGCCAAGATGCTCCTCTGGCATCAGGCTTATCTGCGAGGACAATCAAACCTCTCTCTCCTTCCAGCCTGGCCACGGCTCCTTGCTCCTCTGCTCCACGCTTGGAGACCAGCAGATGAGCAGGACAACACGCTCTCCTCTCCAAATCCCCCCTTCTCCTTCCCTCCAAGACGTGGTTCTTCACCCCCTTAGGGTTTTTTTCGTGCCCAGTCCTTGCATTTCTTCTTCCCTCACACCCCTGGGGCTGGCAGGAGGGACAGGCAGGAGGGACAGGCAGGAGGGACAGGCAGGAGGGACAGGCAGGAGGGACAGGCAGGGCTTGAGGGGACAGAGGGGACCAGCCGGGCGAGGGACAGGCTGGTGGGGAGGGGGGGCACCATCCAGCCTGGCCAAGGTTTTAACACAAACTGTTGTAAACGGGTAATAAACGAGGCCAGATGGTGGGTGCTGTAAATAACATGAAAAAGCAGCCGCGGGGAGGCAGGAGCCAGGTCGGGCTCCCCCGTGACACGAGGGGATGGGAAAGGCTGGAAGAACCTTTTTGGGAGCTCACCCCACGCCGGGAGCTCATGGCACGTGTGGAATAAGCATGGGGGACACGTATGTAGCCGTCCCCATGTCCTGCCCACGCAGGATCAGCTCTGCCCGCAGCCCCCCTGCCGTGCTACGCGCCGAGGGACAGCCCGGAGCAGCGTCGATGCCACTTGTAGGCTCCCCTGAACCCCCACATCTACAGGAACGAGACACTCAGCCCCCCCCCCACCCCCCAAAGCCTCTCATCCATCTGCAGTCTCGTCCGCCACCGTTCTCCCCTCCTCCTCATCAGCTGGAAATCGGGGAGGCGAGAGCTCGGCTGCTCCCAGCGAGTCCAGACACAGCGGGTGAGGAGCTTCACCTGCAGCACCTCGCCAAAGCCCACAGCGCTCCCCAGCGAGTCCAGACACAGCGGGTGAGGAGCACGAAGCCCTTCGCCTGCAGCACCTCGCCAAAACCAGGTGGCTGGGGCCACCCTGAGCCACGGGGCCACCAGGGGCACGAGGCTGCGTGGTGGCCTTGGCCATGGAGAGATGGACCCCCAGAGATGGACCCCCAGAGAGATGAACCCTCAGAGAGATGCACCCTGAGAGATGCACCCCAAGAGAGATGGACCTCAAGAGAGATGCACCCCCAGAGAGATGCACCCCCAGAGAGATGTATCCCAAGAGAGATGCACCCCCAGAGAGATGGACCCCCAGAGAGATGGACCCGGGGACGTGGGACACAAAGGACATCCATGAACTGAGCCCCACACACCTCCTCGCCCTCCCCACCATGAATCCAAGCAGCGCATCCTCATGTCTTGAAGCCCCCAAAGCCGAGGACATCTCACCTCCCCTTCCCCACCTGTCCCCTCTCCTGGCTGCGATATCCAGGGACCCCCCAGCGTCAGGACCAGCTCCTTCCCTGCCCCAGCAGCCACCTCCCCCCGGTTCCTCACACGCAGGGACTCACCAGGCACATCGGGAGAGGAGTTGAGGATCATGAAGGCATCGGAGAGACCGGCTTTCACGGGGTGCTGGGTGGCACTGATCTGTAGGACGGGCACGGGGATCTGCAGCCGGGGAGAGAGGGGGTGAGGGACCCCAAGCAGAGCTCTCCAGTGCTTTGGTGGCACTGGGAATGCCCAGACTCGGCGTGTGAACAGTTATAACATCAAACCTCCTTCTCCCAGACCCACAGGAACCCCCCTGTGGGGACCCTCCTGCTCCCCCTTCCCCAGCAGGAACATCCCTCACCTCCTTGTACCCGAAGACGATTCTCCCGGTGCTGTGCAGGGCCGCCTGGAAGGTGAAGCTGCCCATGTCCTCCTTCCCCTGGAGATACACCTGGTCCCACTGCACCACGAAAACCGTCCCTGGGGGAGAGACCACAGCGGATCCGTCCCCACATCTCAACAGCCTGACCCGTCCCCTCCTGATGGTGAAGCCCCGAGTCACCTCATCCCCCAACCTCCAGCGCATCCCTCTGAGGAGACCCATGAAGGACCCTCTGCCCAAATTCCACCCCCCCCAGGGCACTGAACAGTCCGCTGCCCCGGACTCCCCTTCCCCACACCCTCACCCTCCTCCAGCCCCTCCGTGTGCTCCAGGGGGCTGAGCTCTGCTGGGTTTTGGGAGGGAGGAGCGGGCAGAAGACCCCGTGGGGTGGCAGGGGGACCTGCTGGAGGAGGACTCACCGTTGTCCAAGTACTGGACGGTGGAGTTGCGGGAGAAGCTGGGGTTGAAGTTGGCCATGAGGGGTGCGACGTACTGGGTGGCCGTCAGCATCCGGTGGATGACGTCCCCCATGAAGATAAAACCTGAGCGAGCAGAGAAGGGTGAAGCAGCCCACGGTCCCCTCCATCACCCCGGGATGCTCCCTCCCTTCCTTCTGACCCCCCACCACCCTGCCCAGGCTCACCCACCCCTTTTTTCACCCCCAAAACCCCCTCCTGGCTTTCCTCCAGGCCTGTGGGACAACCCCGCGTCCCCTCAACTGCTGGAGAAACCGAGGCACCAGCAGCACCTGACCCCCCCGAGGACCAGCAGCGGGGCAGGGGTTGGACTTGGGGTGGAGGGAGAAAGCTGGGAGGGCTGCAGCCCCTTCTCTGAGCGAGTTCCCCAAGCTCTCGGATGGGGGGGAGCCACATCCAGCCCTCCCACCATGGGAACACCAGCCGAGCATCCCCATCCCACCCCGACTCACCACCCGTCGCTATCGTGACCTGCCGCAGGAGGTGGCCGTAGAAGGGGAAGTCAAAGGAGAGGACAATTCTCTGCAGGAGGAAGATGGAGTGAGGATCACGCTCAAAACCTTGGAAAAAACGCCTGGGGGGTGCTGGGGGGAAGGGTGGGTGCCCACCAGCTCTGCCCTGGGGGGTGCTGGGGGGACGGGTGGGTGCCCTCCAGCTCTGCCCTGGCTTGGGGCAAGGTCCTGGGGCCGGTGCATGGAGGGGTGGGAGAGGGATGGGGGTCCCTTCTGCCCAGCAGGACCAGCCCCAGAGGAGCCCAAACGCTTCCCAAGCCTTGGTGATGACAGGGGGGGGACACGGAGGGGCTGCTGCTGCCCCGGGCGAGGTGCCACCCTTGGGAAATCTCATCTGGGAGTGGAGATGGGGGGATTTGGGGGGACACCCCAGGCTGCAGAAGAGCCCCCCAGAGTCTCACCGAGGCCTGCCGGTGCGTGTTGGAGAGGATCCCGTGGATCTTCACTTGGCTCCTGTTGGCCGTTGCCATGTCCACCCACAGCCCCCTCCGCCGGGCGTCCCCCGGCCCGTAGATCCGTGACACGTAGTAGCTGTGGTTGTCCTCCTGGGGAGGGACACGGGGGGGGGACACGGGGGGGGTGACATGGGGACAGTGTCACCCGGGCTCAAAACCCCCAGGAGCAGCCGGGACCCAACCTCAGGGCCTCATTAGGGGGTCCCGGTCCCCCCATTGCTTTGGTTACAGCAGGAATTAAGAGAGAGGGGGGGGTTGGGACCCACGGATGAGTGGGGAGCGCAGCCGCCGTGGGGCAGACCTCAGGGATGCCCGGCATCACCCCCCTCGTCATCCTCTGGGTCCAGAGCTGCCCCTCTGCACCCCAAACCTGGAGCATTTTGGGGGAGAGAGAGGGGAAACCCCTCCCCAGACGTCCCGAGGTGGGACCAGGGGGTCAGACCCCACGAGAGACAGTGACACGTGGAAGGAGCAGCGTCCCCGACCTCGAATGTGGCCCCGCTCTTGGGGGGGGACACTCTGAGCCCCCCCCTTCCCCGACAGCGCCAAGCCCTGGGAAATTGCTGCCTTTTCCTCCTGGGAACCACAACCTCCATCACACCCTCCCTGTGGTTTCCCAGCATCTCCCAGTGCTGTGGTGGCCGTTGGTGGTTTTGGGTTGTGGTGGCTTTTTTTTTTCTTTAAACACTTCCACATCAGGCACTTTTCCATCTTCTGTCCCCCATGGTCAAGGGTTCAAGCTGGAGCAGAGCAGACACAGCCCCAGCTGCTTCTCCCCTGCCCGTCATGCCACGGGGACAATAATTCCCCCAAATCCACAAGCAGCTGGTGGCAAAATCACCAGGACAAGTCACCACGGCTGGTACAACCTCCTCCAGAAACTGTCCACGGCCACACACACCCTGTCCCTGTCCCCGAGATCCCAGAGCCGGGCAAACCCTCCCGGCTGCCGAGGGACCCACGCCCCCGCCACAAATAACCAGGAGCTAATTGAGGGCGGGTAATTAGGCTCAGCCGGGATGTGAGAACCCAGCGAGATGTCCCAGGAGGTGACACAAGTTCGTTAGCGGCGGCACAGGCTGCTGCTGTCCCCAACTGCAGACTCCCCCCCTCCCCGTTCCCCACAGACTGCCCTTCGCCAGCCGCTGGGCTACCAGGGGGGTGTCCTGGGGTGGGGGTATAGGGGTGGGTCAGCAGGGTCCTACACCTGGAAGCCAGGATCAGCCCTCTCCCCTCCAGCTTCTGCTTAGGTGACACGAGTTTTGGGGGGTCTCAGCCCTGATGAGCAGCGTCGGGGCGATGATGGAGATGCAGGGAAGGGGCTGCTGGGGTCAGGGATGGCCACGGGGTGACAGACACCCACGGCCAGGGCAGGAGAGACACGATGGGGGGGTGAAAAGAGGCAAAACACCTATAAATCCACCCCCTCCCAGCTCGGCTCACGCCGCTGCGAGGCCACGGGGATGGGGGAAGATGCGGCTTCAGCCACGGGGCAGCACGGGGGCCACATCCCCCACCTCCCCGGCCATCGGTCCCCTCCTCCGGGCTGGTTTGGGGTCCGGGTGCCAGGGTAGACCCCAAACATCCATCTCCAAACCCAAAACGTGTCCCCCGTCCCCTCCCGCTGCCCCTCTCCCTGCCTGGCTCCAGCCCCGGGAGGGAGCGGAGGCCGGAAACACAGCGCGGTGTTGTTGGGAAAATGGGGAGGGGGGGGGAGGAAAATGGATGAGAAAAAAGCCGTTTGGGACCAAATCTGCAGAGATTCATGAGATTTCCTGGCAGCTCGGCAGGGCCGGGGGCGGCAGGGACGGCACACGCTCGCCCACGGGCAGGGACGGAGCCAGGGACGTCTGTCCCCACGAGTGGGACACCAAAAACAGCCCGGGGGGGGCTCACAAGCTGCTCCCCCCACCCCTGGGAGAGGGGCTCCCGTCGTTACCCCTGGGGAGACGGAGCTAATTAGTGCCTAACGAGCTCCTGGTGGCGCTGGGGATGGAAACCGGCCCCACGGGACAGCTCGGGAGGGGAAACTGAGGCACGGGGGGAGCCGGTGGGATGTACCCCCCTGCCGAGGGAGGGGCTGCACAGTTGGGGGGCACACTCACCTTCCCCCGGGGACACTGGGGGTCCCCAGCCCCTCGCTGCTGCTGGCTGGTTTGGGGTGCCCCATGGAGCAGGGTCTGCCCCCCAGGCAGGGCTCAAATGAGGTCCCCATGGAGGGTCCAGCGTCTGCCCCCCAAAATCCCCCCATACCCTGCACCCACAGCCAGGGGTGGGGGAATCCCGGGTGGGGGCACCCCAGCAGCGGGGCTACAGCCCCCCCTCTGCCCCATGGCTGCCCCACACAGTTGGGGGGGTCCGGGCACCCCAAAACACCAGCGCTTTCACCGTGGAGATGCTGG